TTACCTCAGCTGATTCTTTGTCAATCAATTCTTCATTTTGTAAAAGCTGGAATGGAATGTATGGAGTTAACGAACAGTATTGAAGCTCAAAAGCCCATTCAAATAATACAAATTACGAGCTGAGCAAATATGGACCTCTACAACATTGGAGGTTTGAACAGGTGAGTTGTAGGAGTAGGCATCTCTTTCCTACCTGGCACACCCGACTTGTGTTCCTTTTCATGATAGGGATTTTTTCTTTCATTTAATTTTTAAGTAACTTCAAATTTTGTTTTAAACAAATGTACAAAAATAGTTTATCAAAATTGACAATGCAAAAAAATATATACTTACCGGTGAATCTTTATTGAACATTTTCTTGTGTTGCCAAGGATCGTGCATATTATGATGCTGTTCTAACTGGTAAGCGTTTTTAATTACTCCTTCCTTAATTAATCTTTCACAAAATCTGCACGAATACCGATTCCTCTTTGCTGTACACATCATAAGATCATGTGTCAGCTGCGAATCCCTAGTAAATAGTTTTCAAATAAAAAAATAAAAACACTAAAAAGTAGTTAAAGAATATTAGATATCGAAGCGTAAACTATACACAAGATTATTTACGCCAATTATTATTTTCGCCATTTCACACTTGTGAACACGTTTGTCCCATTTTAAATTCTCGCAGTCACACTAAAATTTATGTTTTCTTTGTATTTGCCCTGTTTAAAATTTTCTAACTGTGATTAGGGCGAAAGGAACGAAAATAAAACGGCGGCATAAATTATCCTGTATACACAGAAATCTCATGGCTATTTTTACCTGTAAATTTGGATTCCGCATTCCTTGCATTCAATAATTTTCTCACATTCTGTTTGGTGCATTTTAAAAGATTTCCACGGAAAGAATTTCTTGCAACGATTACATTCAACCGGCCTATACTGACAATTTAGCATGTGAATTTCAACCCTTAACCGTGTGTCTTTATAGTCACAATACTGATATCGGCATTTGATTATGGGACATAAATGATACCTTAACTTTGATTTTGAAAAACATTCGTTGCAACTTTTGCACTCCGAAAAACATAGCTGAAGATGTTTGAACAAATCCTTCCTTGCAAATAATTTTTCACAGTGTGGACATTCTTTGATGGCAAATGGACAATCATGCCTCTGCTGGTCTTTTTGTAAGTACATTCCACCACAATCTTCACAATGTTGAGGCGCCCAGGGACAGCCTGAAAGATGTTTCTTATGGTCTTTGAAAGGTACAACGGCCGTACATCCATAGGATTCGTTTTCACAAGAAACTAGTCTGTTTGGACACACACGTATATGTGAAGCCATTTTATGTCGCTGCATCTTAATTGTACAATTTTCAACAGGACATTTTTGGATAGAAAATTCGCATTCCTCTAAATGCTTCTTCATGACATTTCTTCTGGATGTAAAGGGACACTTTCTGTTTGGACATTGTATTGGTAAATACCAACACTCTTGAAGATGCTTTTCAAGTTTTCTGAAGTTTTCTCCGCTGCAGGAAAAAGAACAATCTCCATATTTGCAAGTCAGTATACAATGTTTGATAACATTTACAAGCCTTAGAAAACCAAGAAGTGGGCTGGAATCCTTTTTCTCTCCAAGAATACGATCCCTTTTCATAATATTTCGAAGACGCCGGAGAATTCTTGTTCCATCATTGTAAGGTTTAACACCTCTCAGCTGGATTCTACGGAATGTTAGACGAGGACCTTAAATACATGAATTGAAACATATAAACACTGAACTATATTAGTCAAGCAATATTCATGTATTTACAAGAAGTTAACACTACCTTCAACATTCTTTAACGTAACGTTTAACATACAGAAATGAGCATGTGTTCTCCCCAAAAGATCGTTTTATTAAAAACAATCATAATTATGATTTAATGGATGTGTGCATCCCACATACCTTTTAGTGCCTTCACAAATCTATTTATCAACTGTATCAGGCATTCGTATACCGATATGTCATCCTTCCGCATTTTCTGCTGATATTTCCAACAATAAATACAATTCAAGACTCTCATACACCGAGGAATTTTACATTTGTCGAGAACGATTGGAATGACTCGATATTTGCCTTTTGTAATCATGTACATCCAGAGTGCATTATCTAAGATAAACTGACAAAGTCCACTTCTGAGAAAGTTTTTACTAACAAACAGAACCGATGCCTTCGTTTTGTCGAGTCCATTCTCAATGATATTTCTGACAATCGGCTCTCCTGGTACCAGATCTACATCAGGATCAAACATCCTTAATCCCAAAGTGCTCTTCATCAATTCCATGATACGACGAACATAACCTCTGTCGCGTGGGCTGTAGTTGACAAAAATAGGGAAGCCATTTATATTCGTTTGAGCCATCCTACAATTAAAGAAAATAACCGTTTTTATTTTGAATTTTTTTGCTTCTTTTTTCTTTTCTTTTTTTTTTTTTTATTTTGAATTTTTAGTTTTTTCTTCCGATTTTTTAATTGGCTGTTATTTTTATTTATTTTAAGAATAATATTGATCTAGAAAATCCTGAACATAGCATATTAGAATAAACAAACCTCAATTGCTTAATATTTTTAATATATTCTTATAACTCATATTTTATATATCAAAACAATGTAAGGAAATAGTACATTTCAAACATGTTCTGGAAAATGTGCCATATGTGTTGATCATTTCTTACTTTTTCCTATTCTTGCTATATTATCAAGTCGATATTTATGAAAACTGCCTTTCTTTGAACAAAAATAAGAAATGGCAATGAGGGATTTTGATTGGAATTAAGAAGTTAAAAGAATGATATATATTTTCAATAATTTCAACTAATTTAAACAAGTTCAAAATGGCCTGTGGTCCTCTTCGCAAAAAATTCTTATGACACTCTTAAAATTTTTATTTCAAAAAAGATATTTCTGAAATAGTTTTTACAATGTAATCATAAAACTATTAATATAATGTAATAGAAAAAAATGCAGATGTTTGAAAATAGGCGAATTTTTAATCTTAGTTATAAGAATTTTTGTAAAAAGGGCCACTGGTTTTTTAAAGAACACAATAATGTTTCTTTTCAATCCTGTATTCAGCGACGCGGACCAGGAAGTCTAATTATTGCAGGAAATAATTCCAAAAACATTTTTTGAAGTTAATTCTCTATATCAAGGCAATAAGAAATCTTGCTTTTGTGTTCAAAATCATGGGATATCTATGGCTTGATCGATTAAAAAGGGAAAAAAGAACTGTTTTGTTGTTATCATTTCTTGCAATACATGGAATTATATGAGTGAAAACTAGATAAGCATCATCTTATTTAATTTAATAATAAAAAACAAGTTTGAGAAAGAAAACGAGATATGTTATTTGGAACATATAAGGCAAAATAGACAAAATGTATATTGTAAAAGAAAATAACAGAATTACATACATTACAAATATCTTGAATGTTATATTTTTGCTAAGAAAACTTATTCTTGTTAAACTTTTATAAAGAAAAATTATGTTATATAACTTTTCAGATCACAAAATCACATACACCAACATTAATCTAATTGTATATGTATAAATAATCATGAATACAATAAAACAACAGAACAGTTGTTTTATTTTAAAGAGAATTGGGTCCGAATGCTCAGTTTTCCCTAAACCTAAAGGTGCAGCATGAGTCTGATTCTACAATAAAGTTCTTTGATGTTGATTTAAAAAGATGCTGGAGTTTCTGACAATAGTTGTGTCATCTTCGGAGATCAGTTCTCCCAAACAAACCGTTGAAATTCTGTTGTGCATTAATTCCCTTCCGTTATTAGCAGACGAGTTTTTATATTCCTTTGAAGCAAAATTTATTCAGAAACTGGTAAATGAGGAAAAAATGCTGTGGGCTTTAACTCGACATTCATATATATTGAGGACGCGTATTATCAATTAACATTGGTTACTTCCAGTTATACGTCTAGTGAACTTGAAATAAAAGATACCACAGATCTAGAGTCATTCACTTCTCTTTAATATACTTCATGTTTTACTGACTAAAGACGAATACCCTCAGTTTATAATAAGTAAACGAGTCAGTTTCAGTTTTTTCATCTTCAACCTCTCTCAATTTTTGTAATATCCCTCATACCCTGATTATGAATTGTCTGCATTTCGATAATTTTGTTGTCGTTATGAAGACCCTGTAAAATGAAACCATCTGGTCGTCGTCGTATATTTAAAAAAAAGTTTTTTTTTAATACTGAATTCGACTACGAACATTTCCATCTTCCTGTTCAATACATAGGCCCCACGACCCCAGTACTAGTGTGATTGCTCAATAGTTGTATGTTCTCCTCCTAGGCACCCGATTCTATGGAACGCCAAATTAACATTATATTCAAATATTTGTACCTATCTTCAAATAATTGCACCTATCTTCAAATAATTGTACCTATCTTCAAATGAATTGAAGATAGGTACAATTGAATTAAAGATAGGTACAATTGAATTAAAGATAGGTACAATTGAATTGAAGATAGGAATAAATAATTATACCTATCTCTAAATAATTATACCTAGGTACAAATGAATTATACCTATCTTTAATAGAATTACACCTATCTTCAATTCAATTAAAGATATGTTCAAATGAATTATACCTATCTCTAATTCATTTGAAGATAGGTATAATTGATTTAAAGATAGGTACAATTGATTTGAAGATAGGTTCAATTAAGACATATTCACAAAGGATTTGAAGATAGGTACAATTCAATTATACCTAGGTTCAATTTGTTTTATGTCGTTGGTAAATAATGAACGCTCCCTTTGAGACACTATACAACATCAACATGGAGGGAAACCAGGGAAGCACTTGAGTATAGAGGGAAACGCACAGAACCTACAGAACGACGACAACAAGGATGAAAGCAGAAATAAAGGTTAATTCAAAATGTACAAAAAGCATCATATACTTATAAAAATACATGTATATGTTATGTGGGTATATCTGGTATTGCAGCCAGATGAAGATTCCGATAAATTTTCGCGCCAGCTGTGACGTATCGGAAATGACGTATGATAAAGGGAGTAGTTGTCATTGCCAATATCTTAGTAATTAAAGATAGGTTCAATTCAATTGTACCTATCTTTAAATCAATTATACCTATCTTCAATTCATTGCATTTGTACCTATCTTCAAATCAATTGTACCTATCTTCAAATGAATTAAAGATAGGTATAATTGAATTGTACCTATCTCTAATTCATTTGAAGATAGGTACAATTGATTTAAAGATAGGTACAATTCATTTGAAGATAGGTACAATTCAATTGAAGATAGGTACAATTATTTGAAGATAGGTACAAATATTTGAATATATGTTAATTTGGCGTTCCATACGATTCCTCCCCTGGATTAACCAGGGGTCTGTGTCTATTATAGTGCACAGATCTATACAAAAGGGTTTATAAATTTGAGTAGATTAAGATTGATCTTTGTTCGTTATCTTCGCCTTTTTCAATGGAAAAGTCGTAAAATGATGACACATCTTATAACAATTTGACCAAAATGAAAGAAATAACATTGTAAACTTACCTGAATTGAACGTGCTTTCAGTACTGTATGTTTACAAATATAGATATACAGTATTACAGGCAATTAGAAAATGGGAAAACCGAATGAGGAAAACATCCCCTTGATATTCAGGAAGTCAGTTACAAGCATTACTGGAATCTATTTTTAAAAAAACATAGTAATTCAAACATTAAATGTACTTAAAGATATGAACATTTCTCCTTATCACTCTCTCTACATTTCGCTAGATCTCATCTTGATTTGTTGACAAATCAAATGAAATTGTGTGGTCGACCTGATAAAGAGCTACACTGATATAGGCGTTGTGTAATCTTTAATATTTAATGTCTTATTAATATAAAAATATTTAATTATCATTTTATCGATAAAAGTTCAAGTTAGAAAAAAATAAGATATGATAATGAATTTTAAGTCAGTTAATGGCAAAATAGTCCATTTTTTTTTAATTTTTAAAGCACTCTTAATTAAAGAAAAGTATAATCCTTTACGATCAGGGACATATGTATTGATACTCTGCTCCTTTTTGGTTTATTAAGTAGAGATATTCTGTCGTTCTTTAAACCCCCACGTTTTACTGAAGAAAATGCAGCTAAAACAATCCGTCTTTTCCTTAAAGTTCAATATGCCAACCAAGGAATTGACGCGGTACATCCTGTATTTCCTATAAATATACATCGACTATTGCTTCCATAATATTAATTTCCATTCCTACGTCGATACGATATATCCTGGTGAGCTTGAGATAAAAGATACCACAGAGTCCGACACTTCTGTTTCATACTTGGATATTTTAATTGAAAAAGACACTAATGGTAATCTAACAACCAAACTATATGATAAACGTTATGACTTTAACTTTTCTATCGTCAACTTCCCTTACTTATGCAGCAATATACCTTCATCACCTGAATACGGAGTTCACATATCTCAGTTGATTCGATAAGCAAGAGTATGCTCTACGTATGAACAATTTCTAAACCGACGTAAATTATTGACAAACAAGTTGAAGAAACAAGATTATCAGCAGTCAAGTTTAAAGTCATCATTTCGTAAGTTCTATGGTCGATACAATGACCTTGTCAGCAAATACAGTTTATCATTGAGTCAAATGCTGACTGACGTTTTTCATACCAATTGTTAGTCCATTTTTTATAAACTGAATTGACGACGGATTTTTTCCCGTTCTTTCCTGATCATGACAAGGAGCACATGGCGAGTGTGACCGGTCGGCAGGGAATGCTCACTCCTCCATGGCACCTGATCCCACCTCTGATGTTTCGGGGGTCCGTGTTTCCTCTGCTACTATTTTGTATTGTTTTATGGACTTTGAGATTGTATACTGTTCGTTATCTCCATATCCTTCTTCCAAACTTATTAATTACAAGAAAACTTTACAGGGCCTGGATATCGACTATCTGAAACATAATCCTCCATCGTGTTCATGTTTCTTTTTAAAGTTGTCATTAGATCTTCTAAAAGAAATACCGTCCTTAGCACTGGTTATTCTTGATTTATCAGTAAGTTCTTCCATTGCTTGTACAATTTTTGTGAAGTCATGATGAACTATAGTCCTGCTGGACACGTTATTACAGGTGACGTAAATATAGTTAATAATGATGACGTTAGAGCAATAATTTTAAAAGGTCTTAAATATAGGTAACGCCGATCCTTCAGGCGTCGGGGTTTCGTTAATATTATGGATTCTGTAGAAGGTTTTGCAAGACGATTGGCCAAATATGAAAAAGAAGACGTTGACACTTTGTCAGAATGGATTGAATGTATCAGGTCCATGTTAAAATCGC